TAGCTGGCTCGTACCCGTTCATAGGTTTGTAATCGATTGCAAACAAGTGCAATGGTCAATTGGGGCCAGTGTTTGAAAAAAAAGCCAGTTGTTTCCAACGCTGATCGGCCGATCAGCGTTGGAAATTGATACAAAAATACCACTTTTCTTGAAAATGACAGTATACCAGGTGCCATAATTTTACAGGATGCTTTAGACTGTCATTTACCAACATCCTATTAAGGTATTTCGCAAAAACTTGGTAGTTTTATTTTTCGATGTTTGCAAATGTTGTATATTCCCTTTAATAAAAAGAATATGACAACCTACAGGTGACAGCACGAAATCGACTGTGTTACTCGTAATTCATTTATAAGCTCTTTCAAATCTTAGAATTTTTTCTTCTCATTTCTGCCTTAAAGGCATATTGCTTTGCATGCATTTTGTTCAGAACACCATTCAAATCTCAAACGAAGAATGTTCAAAACCTAAATTGAAGTTTCGGCTCAGTGGGTGTATGCTTTTAAAGGGAATATACAACATCTGCAAACATCAAAAAACAAAACTACCAAATTATTATGAAATACCTTACTGGACTGCTAGTTAATGATATTCTAAAGCCTCCTGTAAAATCATGGCACCTGGTGTGCTGACATTGTCACGAAAAGTGGTATTTTAGTATCAATTTCCAACGCTGGTCGGCCGACCAGCGTTGGAAAAAAAATGGCTTTTTTTTTCAAATACTGCTCCCAATTTATCATATTTACACAATGTAGTTAGTCCGCATTTTTCTTTGCAATCTATTATACACCTACCATATGAACGGTTACAAGCCAGCTAGACTGATTCCCTGACCTTACAATTCCCTTACGTCTATAAATTGCTCTGTTTTATCTTAAATGGGGTCAGGGAACCAGACTACAAGAACATGATTGTTTTTCTTGGTTTTTCTAGCATCTACAAACCCAAAACGTCAAACAAGTCAGTGTAACAATATCTACTATAAAAAACTAACCCGCAAATCAATCCATTTCTGAAAATTACAGCAAAAGGAGATGTTGTATATATTCCCTTTAAAACCATGTTCAGAGTATTAATTCTCTGGGGTTTTTTTTTTTTCACTTTCTATTTTTTTTACATTCTGTTTTCTGAAGGGGCTGCAGCGATTCCATTTAATACAGTGTTCTCCAACCTGTAAAAATAACCTGGTGCCCCCCCAAGCTTTCTGAGGCACCCGCCAAGCTTCAAAAGCTGCCACCAAGCTTAAAAAGTTGCCCGCCGTGCTTAAAAAAAAGGACAAAATAGTAAAAAAAGACAAACAAGTGGGACTACCCTTACCCTCCAGGGTATATTTTGGCCAGAAACTCTGCCAAAAGCAGTAACATGCAACACTTGTCAAACTGACAAGCCTGCCCATTGTAACAATCAATCAGATCAAAAGTCTAAAGGCCAAACTGCCTCAGAGTCCCTGGTCACTGATGTGTTAAAAAGATGATGCTGAGCCAGAAATGGCCTAATCCGTACATAAATTACACGTTCATCTGCAACTAGCGCCCCCTAGCATAAGGAAATGTACGACTGCAAATAGCGCCCCTAACATAATTATAGCGCACCCCTCCCCCTCCGCTTTTTGACGGCACACCGACCTTTTATTTTCAAAGTTGGAGAACACTGCATATAGGATTTGAAGGTTTGCAGGAAGATGTGAGCAATATGTACAACTCTGCAGTTGCATCGTGTGACCAATCCATTTCTTTTGGTGAGTTAGCGAGTCTCTGATAGACAGAGTTGTAATGACTCGAGTCAATGACTCAACTCGAGTCCGACTCCAGTCACAATTTTTGGTGACTCGACTTGACTCGAGTCCCTAAGGGCAAATGACTCGACTCGACTCGACTCGACTCGAGCCACTGCGAGCAAATGACTCGACTCGATTCGAGTCCCTCATCAGAATGACTCGACTCGACTCCAGGAAGGCTAATGAGACTCGAGTCCCAAAAATAAAAGCAAAACTTTGCGAAAAAGTATTTGCAATGACTTACGCCGGTGCCGGTTTTTGTTCACGTCACGTTAGAATGTTCGCGAATAATGTATACACATACGTGGTTTGATCAGTGTCCCCATTAGTTGAATGACGATCAGCTGGCACCCCCTTTTTATTTTCATTAAGAGGCAAATGTGGTGTCGCCACATGTAGTAGCCCGAATGTAAAATTTAAAAGCCAAAAAATGACTTTCTCTCTTGTGTTTATTTATTGTATAGTGCTCAAATATTTGTGACTCGAATTGACTCGAGCTAAATATTTGACTCGACTCGACTTGACTCGACTACACACTGTGACTCGACTCGACTCGACTCGACTCGACTGTCTTGACCTAATAACTCGACTCGACTTGAGTCACTTCTTTAAAATGACTCGACTTGACTCAAGTCACAAAAATCAGTGACTCGTTACAACTCTGCTGATAGAACTGCCCAGGGGAAATCCAACGTTTCGGACAAGACTCCGCCAGGATTCCTGGCGACAGGCGGAGTATACTGTCCAAACCTTGAGTTTCCGCCGGTCCTTTTCACAAACTCCCAACAGAGATGCGTCACGCACTGCAACCGCAAACTTAATCGAGATTATTAACGTTTCCATTTACTTATCAAGCAAGTCTTGTTTCATTCGGGAGATAAATGGTCGGACAAAGGCCACAAATGAGAAAGGATGGAGAAGGAACAAAGCAGCCATATGTCACAGGCATTCGGTGGATAAATTAATTTGGTCGTATCAACCGACAAATCAGTGATTTAAGCTGTACGTACATTGTAGCCCAGCAAGTGCATGTAGTAATGAAAATGAGAAGGGACAAGATCGCGGATGCGTAAGGATAACAACATGGCAAACGCAACTGGAGGAGATCTGGGGTCAGATCCAAGGAGTTGATAAAACACATTACAAGTTGGAAATACGCAAGTTGGACTTTTTAAGATATTGGAACATTTCTATTTCAGAAATTTAGACCACCAAACAAAATTGAAGTTGTAACTTTAAGTTTACTTTAAGAAAATGGCATTTAAATCCTGCAGTTGTACATGTATAAGTTAAGTTCAAAGATGTGGACAATTTCTTAAGCACTTCATGTACTTAAAGCTTTGTAAATTAAGTAGCTTAATATATATTTCTTTAAGTTGTTTTAAAGTTTGGGTAAATTTGCAAACTCATTTTTATTTCACTTCATACATGTACGTTTTGTATATTTTATTTTACATAAATATTTTCTATACTTTTAATTATCTTCAAGCAAATTTGAATCCTCGATCCTGATTGGTCGATCCATGGCAACAAGCCGTGCTACATACATGTATAACCATGAAGCACGGCCATGGTCCATACCACACTCCGCGTTATTCAAACATGCGAGTGCCATTCCGTACAACTCACATGTGGAATATGATAACCACTGAAAAATTTGATAACAGGGCTAGCACTAGCGTTCCATCTTTAATACTGTACATCAAGTTTGCCTTATGGCCTTTAATACTGACGTCACCTCAAGCTCCACTCTGAAAGATATATTTGAAAGTTTTAAGGGGATCAGATTGTCATCTGCAACATTAGCTGACACTGGGGGGAAAAAAGTAGGGGAAAAAATAATGCACGTTGCTGCACCACTTTTGGGGCAAGCTCCATACCAGAAACCGGAGACCTTTTTTGGCCTAAAGGAGGAAAGAATTCACTGCCTACACGCGAGTGCCAGTAGGCACTGAGGTGATTTTAAAGGATGCCGTACATCACATCACATTTCAATCAAAAATCCAGTTTGAGATCACCGCCAACAAATTGCCGCAGACGTCTGCAGCGCTAAATGTCAACAAAAGGGCAGATCGTGATTAGCCGCATTAAATTTACATCATCACACAGGTATATCTGACTGATGATTGCAGGAGCAGATGCTATATATCCTCTGATGCCTGTGCATGTATGTGTGTGTGTGAATGTGGTAACATTTAAGCCCTCTGGCCTTCTCAACCGATCCAAGGAAAGATGGATCACATCAGCAAGGGCACGCTTGTCAGCGCCCGGTCACGCGCACTCAAGGGAAACGAACCTGGAGTTAGATGCATGAGAGCATGATGGCATGGCATGGTGCTCTCAAGCATCATTTAAACCCTTAAGTGATCAATTGCCTTAAATTATGTCATTGAAAGACAATTTGTATCCATAAGTGAGTAACAACGATGTCACCCGAGGTAATTTTTCACGGGCGACTCGGAGGCAACCAAGTTATAAATGTACTGCAAAAGCTAACTGAACCCGAAGGAGGAACAACACATTATTTGCAAACAGTTTATAGGGAGAGGGGGGGGGGGGGATTTACCCCCCAAGTGCTTTCTTTGCCCCCTTTTTTTCCTTTACTTGGCTGAAATTCGGACTTAAAATCCCTTTTCTAAAACTCTTCCATTTGCGACTGACCAACATACCTTGGAAATTCCTAGTTTTTTAGTAAAATTCATACATTTCCTGAAAACCTTGTGGAGACATTTTCATCTTTAGAAATTGCCCTGTGGAGACGTATACATACAATCTTTTGTTTCCTATTGTGTGCATGTCTCCAGAGGGCACAGTGTACAGGTGTATCAGATCAATGAGAGCTTAAACATTGGAAATTTGGTAGACAAAACACACCACACATGCATTTATGCAGCCAACATCTTTGTACATTTGTTAATACCGTACATTTGTTATTCACCATCCTGCAGTTTGATACATTTCTCATTCAAAATAGTGAGTCTTTTAAGTGCTCTATTTCCGGATCATTGACAATAGGCACGCACGCACGTACGTTGTCTTTTAAAGATTTTATTTTGACTGCCCCCAAAAATACTTCCTTGCCCCCAATGTTTAGAGTCTGGCGCCGCCACTGGTTAAAGGTTAACCAATTTTGATATACAAAACACAAATGATGTAGTAAAATAATTTTGAGCACTTTTCATCAATCCCTTAATTAATAGGTCTCCACTTGCAGGATGCGTACTATTGGTCGGATGTCATCAACGCCATATTGACTAAGGGAAATATTCTGTTTCGCCTACTGACGAATTTAAGGTTTCTGTTTGTGGTGATTCCGAGTGCGTGCCATGCACACGCCGATGAACATCCACTTGTCCAATCTGGCTGTGGCCGACGTGCTGTTCCTGCTAATAATGCACAAATGATGTAGTAAAATACACACCATCGGTGAAAAAAAATTCCCGGCTGACTTTTCTTGAGCTTTTGGACGTGAGAAACATGGCCACGGATTGGACTGGCCTGTCAGCCACTGGGCACACGCCCATTTGAGCACTTTTCATCAATGCCTTAATAGGTCTCTACTTAGCACAATATTGCAGCTGTCCGACCCTCTATTCGCAGGAACCTGTTGACGAGGACAAAGACAAAACTTCATCCCCGACACGAACTGCATGATATCAATGACTGCAGGATGTAATTTAGCACTTACAGTTGGTGCTTGAGTATGTGGGTATATAAATGCATGCAGCTCGCCAGGGAAATGAAGATCTCAAGGTAGATTTATCAGTGACATGTGGACGGTTTGACACAGAAGCAGCAGACAGACGAACCATTCACAATTTACTGGATCACTCTTGATGATATCAACCAGTGGGAACGAGACTTTAAAATGAGAAAATAAATTACAGAAATGACCGTCGTTGATTTGTTCTGATAGTAACAGGAAACTAACCATCTGCTAAAGAGATCGCCTGTCATCGTAACTGGATCGCGAACGCCCACAAAAACTATTTCTGGAAATGAAGAGAACTGCTGAATAGGGACAGCCGGAATTGTTCAACGTCAGGACAAATGCCCTGCGGACAATTTTAAGGAGAGCAGACTGTTTGATATGAAAACAAAGTATTTTTTTTTCAATGAAGGACGTTTGGTGGTATTTGCTTTAGAGCGGCCTAAACGTTTCTGGAATTGACAACACGAGGCTGACAAAATAAAGTGCTGTTGGATCAACATTTTTTCTCGGGAAGTGGTGCAAAGCTTCGCTGATCTGCCAAGGATTATCAAGTAATTACAATCTGAACAGATCTGACAGTGGGAGCAACAGCCTCGAAACTCGACAGTTTAATCCTTGGACTCATCTGTTAAAACCCGACTCGGAAGAGGAAATCTGGCAGCTCTCTCTCCGTGTAATGCTAGATGATCCCCCGAGAAAACATTCGACTGGGCAACATTCGGTGTTGATTACAGGAAATTTTCTTATCTTGAATCCCAGTGAAATTTAGCCCCAACGAGGCTAAGGGGAAAAAAGCGGATGTGATCAGCCATTGACCGAGAAAGTCCTGCTGAGAACATACAAAGTGCCATTTTGACAACTTGGCTACCATTTGGGAAAGTTCCTTTCCAGCTACACAGTGAGAAGATGTGATTTTGAGCTTTTCTTCGAGGGCAAAAAGTGGAGAACTCTGACAACTGACACAAGAGAGGTGAAGCCAATTAATTAGAGAACAGTACCCCCAGAGGGGGAAAAATTGGACAATGACAAGCAGACAGGATCAAGAAATGAAGCGTGTGACTTTCTCTCGCAACTGAACAAAACAGGACAAAAGCAGGACACAATATTCATATCGCCAGTAAGGAGGAGAAAGACAGCAATCAGATGGGTAAGGAATTGAAGATGTTATCGCACTATTGCTTAGGCGTCCTTTGATGAGGTACGTGTCGGTGGAGAAAGGTGGCGATTTTCTTTGTGTTTCTGGACTAACAGTAAGGACAGTTCTGCAAAATCGACCCACGGGACAAAAACAGAACTGCAAATCTTGTCAATATTGTTGCGCAAAAATTCACATCTTGGGGTAAATTCAACTTGATGACAACAACTCTGGATGTTTGTATTGGGTTTTTTTTTGGAGCGCAGGGACTCTCGTTTCGTTTGTATCCATCTTCCACAAAAGGGACTAGGCATATTAGCTCCGCTGTGTAATGTAACGGATATCTCAACAAACAGTGCGTTTACTGACACGGGAAATGTCACTGTGGAATTGGCTTTAAAGCTACTGGATTAATGGTTTGGAACGGAGAGAGTTTCACTTTCAAGTTGGGACAGGAGACACGGCGGGCGCAACCATTCGATACAAGTACATCCGCGTGGCTGCTGCTTGTGTGAAGGTGTGAATGCCCTTTCTGTAGATGACGTTGCGAGTGATCAAGGTACATAGCACTGCTTGACTCTCAAAACCGGATTCATATCCTCCATTTATATTATTCTTTTTCTTGATGTGTGGTCCTGTTGGACTGATATACTTTGAGAAACGCTGGCACAAACTTGATCAAGATACACTATACTGCTTGACTCTGAAAACCGGATTCGAACCCTCCATTTATATTATTCTTTTTCTTGATGTGTGGTCCTGTTGGACTGATATACTTTGAGAAACGCTGGCACAAACTTGATCAAGATTCACTGCACTGCTTGACTCTCAACACTGGATTAAAATCCTTCATTTTTATTAATCTTTTTCTTGATGTGTGGTCCTGTTGGCCGACACATTTTTGGGAAAAGCAGGCACGAACTTCTGACTTGATTGACATACATTTGCGCAAAACAAGAAAAAGCGAAAACAAAAATACTTCACATTTTTTGATGTTTTCTTGTTCAACCACTTTAAACTGGATTAGGATTCCCATATTGAAGTCAAACCGAGTGTGTAGTACTAAAACAGCAGTGTGCGTTAGGACTGTAAGAACGCTGGGCAAAATATCTGACTGACTGTGAATTCGTTGTGAAGCTTCGCTGATCAGTACTCCGCAAAAAGTCCCAAGACAATTTTTGAGAATGGAACCGGCTGGGCCTGACGGTCTGGTGTGGGCCAACTTCACGGAGTACAGTTATTACTACATGTACTACGTAGATCCCGTATTGCAGGATGCCTACGATTGGTCGGATGTCATCAACGCCATATCGACGAAGGGAATCATTCCGTTTGGCCTACTGACAAATTTAATCTTCCTGTTTGTGGTGATTCGAGTGCGTGCCATGCACACGCCGATTAACATCCACTTGTCCAATCTGGCGGTGGCCGACATGTTGTTTCTGCTTATCAATGTGTTCCAGTACGCGACGGGAATCGCTACTTTGGCCACCGGCGTCTTAACTTATCTCCCTTACTTGGCATCAATGCTTTTTGTCACCGCAATGGCTGCGGGTCGCTGCTTTGCGATTTACTGCCCGTTCCGGGCGCGGACGGGCCCAACCACATGCCGCGCCGTTGTGGTCGCAGTTGTGGTCTGGGTGGTCTCGCTCCTGTTCAGCGTGGCTTTCAACCTAATCGTTTACTCGCAGAGCGTGGATGGCCTGGTTCTGAACCTCCTTTACCTGCTCATCAACCCGATATTTTTAGTCGTCAACGTGGTTCTCTATGCTTGCGTGATCGGTGGGCTCTTCAAGCACCGGCGGATTAACGCGAGCACTGCTCTCAGCCAGCGTCGACTAGTCTTCATGCTGGTCACCAACACAGCGGTGTTTTTCGCATTCCACATCGCCGCGACATCCTTCAACCTCTACGCCATGTTCAATCCGATGCCGAGGGCCACCGCCGTGATTGGCCACGCCCTCATCTACATGCTCTCGTTCCTCAACTCCAGCGTCAACCCACTGGTGTACACCGCCACCAACGCCGAGTACCGGGCGGCCTTCCTGAGCGCTTTCACGTTTCCATGTTGTCGTGGTTGTCGGTTCGGCAAGAACAAGCAGCGAACAAACTACATCGCGATACGGGAACGTGCCCGGACGGCATCAAACTCAAACGGACCAATGAACTGCTACGAACTCCGGGACATTAATCCAAATTCACTCACTACAGACGTTCCAGAGTTTGTGACTTAATTAAAGAGAATATATACAACATTTCTTTTTGCTGTAATTTTCAAAAATGGATGGATTTGGTGGTTATCATTTTGTAGCAAATATTGTCACACGGCCCGGTTTCAAGTTTTGTGTCCGTAGATGCAAGGAAAACCAAGAACAAAAATCATGTTCTTGTAGTCTGGTTCCCTGACCCCTTTTCAGATGAAACGGAGCAATTTATAGACGTCGGGGAATTGTAGGGTCAGGAAGCTGGCTTGTACCCGTACGCGTGTTTTATTATATTTTTTGCAGCAAACATCGTATTTTAACCAATCACATCACGCACCCTTACTTGAATAATTTTTAATTATCACGCTGTGTGGATGGAAGACACTTAGGTTCTCGTGGTGTTTTCCCTTCAACTAAACTTATCCCAAGCAACAAAAAGATTTGATGAAAATGGCATGATGGGTTTGAACCACAGATCTTGCGATCTATAGCTCACCCCGCTATCCACTAGGCCACTGAAGCAGCTTGACGAAAGCCGTTCCTTGAAATGCTTTAAATGTACATGAATGACTGAGTGATAGCAATGGTGTGAGGTCATTGTTATTTTTTTATTATGAATAAACATCGAACTAGCTGAATAATCATGATCCATTGACGATGTGTGCTGCAGATAAAAACCCGTGCACAGCTGCGTAACCGATTGCAAACAAAATGTAGACCAACTAAATTTGGTAAATTGGGGGCAGTGTTTTCCAATGATGGATCGGCCGACCATCGTTGGAAATTAATACAAAAATTTCACCTTTCTTGAAAATGTCAGCACAACAGGTGCCATGAATTTACAGGATGCTTTAGACTGTCATTCACTAACAGTCCAGTAAGCTATTTCATAATAATTCGGCAGATTTGTTTTTTGATGTTTGCAAATGTTGTATATACAAAATGTATACAGGGTGAGTCAAAAAAACGGAAACCCAAATGTCTGGCCCATTGTTTTCGTGAAGTTCTGCATGTTGCACTTTCAAAATCCAGGATATGAAAGCCCAATTCATAAGCTTTCTTTTAGTACAAGAATTATTCAAATCACTTACGTACTTTTCAATTTACAGGGTTTTAAACACAACCGCCGTTTTAAGGTTCTGTCCACGGAGCACAAGAAAGTTCAGTGTTCTTTCAGCAAAACGAAAACAAATCACATAAGGATGTGTGTGAATTGTTTTCGTTTTGCTGAAAGAACACACACCTTTTTTGTGATCTGTGGACAGAACTTTAAAACGATGGTTGTGTTTAAAACTCCGCAACTTAAAAAGTACATGAGTGGCTTGAATGATTCTTGCACTAAAAGAAAGCTTATGAATTGGGCTTTCATATCCTAGATTTTTAAAGTGCTACATGCAGAACTTCACTAAAACAATGGTCCCGACATTTGGGTTTCATCTTTTTTACTCACCCTGTATTGCCTTTAAGAATTCTAACATTTACATGTATCTTTGCTTTTGCACTGACTTCACTTGAACTTTAAAAGTAATGGACACCTTTGCAAACATTCAAAAATGAGACTTCCACATATGAAATATGCTATTGTACTTGATTGTAGGAATAATGGTACTGTATCAAGCATGCTGTGAAATCATTGCACCTGGTACATGTATGCTGTCATTTTCAAGAAAGGAGGAATTCCCATCATTTCCTTGTGATGGTACGGACCAAACCATCGCGAGAAAAGAAACGCCTTTTTCAATACTGCCCCCAAAGGATGCGAATTACTTTTCCTGGGGGAAAAATAGGCATCATACATCACAAGAGGGTGCAAGTCAAAAGCTGTTCAAACAGTCACACACAGTCAAAATTCACTTCCACTTCCCCTGCTAAACTTTTAACAAAGGCTAGTCACCAGCAGTCAGATCATGTCAAGCAAGCACTGTGACTAGTCAAACTGAGTTGTGGTCACAGCTGTTTTATCACTCACCTGGAGTCAAAGTACAGCTAAATCGAGTTACATTTAGTCACAGCCAGTCAATCCTGCTTTATGTACTGGGAGGCTGGGAGCTCTTAACTGTTGAAAACAGTCACTTAATTGATTTTGACTGAAAGGACAACTTGGCACAGAATGTATGTTTGCATAGGAGGGTTAATAAACATTTCCGAAGGGAAGTCGAGAAAAACAAAGATGCATTACAGACTTCTTAAAAGTATACATGTGTCATTTTGGACAGACTGTTATTTTTTGTTTAAAGGGAATGTACAGCATTTGCTTTTGCTGCAATTTTCAAAAATACTTGGATTTGGAGGATTAGTATGTTATAGAAAACATTGTTAAACTGACTTGTTTCACGTTTTGGGTTCGGAGATGCTGGAAAATCCAAGAAAACCAACCATGTTCTTGTAGTCTGGTTCCCTGACCCCACTTAAGATGAAACAGAGCAATTTTTTATACACTTTGGGGAATTGTAAGGTGAGAGAATCAGTCTAGCTGGCTTGTTCCATTTTCACAGGTGTACAATGTAGAAACAATTGCAAAGAAAATGCGGAATAACTCAATATGAAAAATTAGGAGCACTTTTTGAAAACAGCCAGTTTTCTCCAACACTGGTCGGCCGACCAGCGTTGGAAAAATACAAGTTTTCTTGAAAATGTCAGCACACCAGGAGCCACGATTTTACAGCATGCTTTGGACTGTCATTCCCTGACAATCCAGTAGGACATTTTGTGATAATTTGCTCATCTCGTTTTTTGATGTTAGCAAATGTTGTATCGTCCCTTTAATATTTTTTATTATATTCTTGTGCCTTGAATCGCCAAAAACACAATTTTTGCAAATGGCGTCCATAATATCTGTAACCAAGTACATGTAATGTACCGTATGTACATGTACATTATAAATTTAAAATATTTATTTATACTGGTATGAAATGGTAGACAGCCCCTGTATTGTTGGGTTCATAAAAAGTGCAGTACTCATAGCAGTTGTTCATATTTGTTTAATTTATTAATTTATGGTTCAAATTCAATTATTCTAACCTAAAGCAAGGGCTTACATGTGTAGATGTACATGAATGTTTATAATCAACTTAATGATGTTGTCTGCATATGCTGGATTTGTAGTCTGGTAGTGGCCAAAATTCCAAAGTTAAAGCTAGAGTAGACCAGTTAATAATAATGCGTATACATAAAGCGCACGTTCGGTATCCACCATTATTAGTGCTCAAGACGCTACATCATTACCGGTATTACCCTACTCATTGGACCAACGTAACATTCCAAATACCATCTCAGCTCCCTGGGGAGTATACAGCTGCATGCTGCCATTTTGAGGCACAAAGCAGCTAATATCAATCACAATAACCATCTCTGCCCTTACAGGTACCCAATTTACTCCTGGGTATTAAAGAAAGTGTACATGTACATCATTGGCTTTTGCTGTAATTTTCAGAAATGAACTATTTGGGGGGTTAGTATAATACATGTAGATCAAATATTGTTACATTGACATGTTTGAAGTTTTGCGTTTGGAAAATGCTGGAAAAACCAAGAAAAACAAACATGTTCAAGTAGTCTGGTTCCCTGATTCCACTAGAGATGAAATGGATCAAAAATGCCGGAAAATTGTAAGGTAAGGGAACCAGTCTAGCTGGCCTCGGTGCACCCGTTCATATGGAGTAGTTGAAAAACAGTTAGGTTTTCCAATGGTGGTCGGCCGACCACCGTTGGAAATGTATACAAAAGTACCATTTTTCTTAAAAAATGACTTCACACCAGGTGCCATAATTTTACAGGATGCTTTAGACTGTCATTTACCAACATCCTAGTAAGGTACGGTATTGCATAACAACTTGGTAGATTTATTTTTTGACGTTTGCAAATGTACATTTTTTGTAATTTCCCTTTAACAGATACCCGGTAACTTGTAAAGACTTGCTCAATTTTGTATCGGTGTTCAAACCAATCAATATTTAAAATATAAATATAACGGACCGAAATCCTGAATAGTTCTGAATTTTTTTTTCTCTAACCCCCTGTTACTTTTATCAATTTGCACAAAAGCCAAAAAGTCCTGTTTTTGAGTACAAAAAAAATCTATGAGAATATACGGTAGTAATGAGATATAAAATATACGGCTCGGGTAAATATTTATTACAGCATTTTATGAACCCTCTCCGACTCTCTGTCTGTGTGTGGTCATTAAAGTGGAATCACAAAAAGGTAATTTACGAACCACAGGAACAATATTTCAAAATTTAATTGGGATTCTTCTTTGGGGGGGTTCATAACAATGTATACATCTACACAGAGTAATTGTCAAACTAGGGAATCAATCATTATAACTTTTAATGAGAAGTTTCATCAAAATAAACACACCTGAGGGGTAATTTCACGCAAAAGTGGACACGGCTAGAATGTGGAAACTGTATGAAATCTTCCAAACTACAAGCATCACAACGTCAAATGTGGTGTCAAATTAAAGGGGACAACAAGATCTTTCATTTCAGTGGTGTGCCAATGAGATGGAATGTAGTTAAAGCTATAGTCCATCATTTGCAGCCATCCGAAAAGTAACTGGCATAATTATTGTTGAAAAACATACTTGGTTGAAAGATAGTAAGGGGACTAAACTCCCTGTGAAATTATTCTTTCTGGCAAGCTGTCATTTTGAAGTAATCAATGAAAGAAGGCCTTTCCAACGGTGCGTCTTAAGACGCACCGTAGGAAAATTTTAATTAGTAGTTCGTTTTGTTATTCGGCGAAACGCGCGCAAGCGTTGGCACGACGCACACGCGCGCGCAGTTGCTATAATTCGTCGGATCAGTGCGCGACATCGCGTAGCTGCAATCGGCTCAGTGAGAACGTGTCTCGGACGCTGAATTCAGGCCCAATTCAAAACATGATTCAGCAACTTTTGATTTGAAACTGAGATCCTAGAATGCTGTTTTTCTCGGAATATACAGCTGAAACTGACCTGAAACTTCATCAGGTTAGCTGTTCAGTATCCTTCATTAGATTTTGAACACTTTTATTGCTTCAAACGAACA